CTCAGCATGATGGTTCAAACACCCTCTCCTTCTCATTCATATCTCTCCTGGACCCAGCAAGCGGCCGCCACCCGTCTCCCTCCCCCGCCAGAACCCCAACTTCCCCGCATCCCACCCGAGATGCTCACATCCAACACTCAAGACCCACCGCCGCTTCTCCCGTTGGATCCCCACCCCCACAATCATCTCCAACATGCTCCCCGGCGAACACACTCGGACAGACGACGCAGTCCTGGACGGGAGTGGGCGCATCTTCCGGAGAGGAATTCGGAGCCTCGAATGAGGCCCTTCTTGAACATTCGAGACAGAGACGGACCAAGCTCGCGGTCGCGGCCAGCTTACAGCCCTGCACAGCCGGAGCGGTACAACTCACTACCGACAAATGGACACCAGTGGGACCGAAGAAGTTCGAATGAGAGCAATCCTCATCCAGCTGAAGAACCGCCAATGTTAAAGTAAGTTTTATGCATCCGCTCTGTGTCGCAGCGGATAGGCCGGGCGCGGGAAAATGTATGGGATTGGATGAGAGGCTAATGATTACATAGCAGGCATTTTATAAGTTCGCCGGGGTTGCCACCGAGACGCCCAAACGATGTGTACGATGAGCAGATGCTCCGCAAACTTGATACACAGGGCTTGTCATCGACTAGGGTCACTCCACCAAGGGATTCGAGGCCATCACCAAGGGATTCGAGGCCATCATCAAGCACCGAGCCACATCAACCACCGTCAACATGGCCGAGAAACCAAGCATCCTCTCCGAGATCAAGAGATGACTGGTCACTACCAAATCGTGGCAGAGCTTCAATGCCAAGACTTCCACCTATTTTGGGCTTTTCATCGGCACCAACAGAAGAGCCGGCCTGCCATTCTGCTCATGGTGATGAGTCACCATTCCCATTCCCGCGGTTCCCTTCACCGGCGGCAAGGACGAACCGGAGCTCTATCGACTCGACCATGGATGAAGAAGGTGCCGCCCTAGGACGCTTGGATATCCGTGCGACCCCGCCATTATCGTCGTCATATCCCACGACTCGCCGGAAACGCAGGGCGCACTCGCCGCCACCTAGCATATATGGCCCCTTCTCGGGTGCATCAGAACCATCACGGAAGGAACCGATGCTGGACACGCATATGGACATTCTGGGACGACGAACGCCGCCAATTCACCATGGATACCCCCACTCGGCTGGCCTGCGGACAAGCCCAAGTTGGCGAGCAAACACGTTTTCATCGTCGTCGTCGCAACAATCATCAGTACTACGAAGCATGTCAACAGGCCCGTTATCAGTCACCTCGACACCATCATCATCATTGGAGTCGTCACGATGGCCGCAGATGCTGCAGACTGGAAGCGAGTCGTCATCCTCGTCGTCATCGGCAACGATCCGGGGATACTCGCCAATCGCCCACGGTGCGAGTGATGTCCATGGGTTCATCAGAGATCCACCGCAACCACAATTGCGGCGGACAGGGCCTCCACACATGTGCACCTGCTGTCCGAAAAAGCCAAAACGGTTCGAAACACAGGAGGACCTAAAGTAAGTGCTGACTCGAGTCACATGATACAGTATATGGTTACTGACACTACCTCAGCGCCCACGAAGCAGAAAAACAATACAAATGCCTCTACTGCAACAACCGCTTCAAAAACAAAAACGAAGCCGAACGCCACCAAAACTCGCTCCACCTCCGCCGGTATTCGTGGTCGTGTGTGGTCCTCGCCGACAACTTCCAAGCTGCTTTCCACCCTCTCCTTCCCCCATCATCTTCCTCCTCCTCCTCATCCTCTACTCCTGCCCCACCGCCACCGCAAATCGATATCTGCGGCTACTGCGGCGAAGAATTCCCGCTCGCTAGCGTCAACGGCGACAAGAAGGAATGGCAGGAAAGAAAGTACTTGCATCTCCAGGATCAACACAAGTTTGGCGAGTGTAACCAACAGAAGAAGTTTTACCGTGCAGACCACTTTAGACAGCATTTGAAGCATTCGCATGGTGGGACGAGTGGGAAGTGGACGAATGAGTTGGAGAAGAGTTGTATGCAGCCTGAGGAGGGCGTGTGAGGGGTGTGAGGGGGTGTGCTTGGGGAGTCGGGGGAGAGGGATGTTGAGGGAGCGGGAGATACTCGAGCGGGCCCGAGGGTAATGGATGTTGTGGTGGATGCTGGCTTGGATGGGGATACGAATATTGATGAGCACCGACGCGACGACCATGTTGATGCTGTTGATGTTGATGTTGATGTTGATGATGCTGGGGAGGCGGGGTATACAGTACAGTATTGTCTAGTATAGTTTGGGATGGTATCATATAGTCATGCTTCAACATCAAAAGAAGTGCCGAGGCAGGCAGACATCGGAGGGAGGGAATGTTTTTTTTTATTTTTTTATTTTTTTTGCATTAGGCCGGAGTTTTATTGTTTATTGTTTCTTTTCTTTTTCTTGTTCGTTTCTTTTTGGCTGGTTTGTCTTTCAAGGTTTTTTCTGGGCTGGGATTGGGATCATCTTGTTGTCATTGTTCGGGGTAGTTATAGTACTATACATACTATTATATATCTTTTTTTTTTCTGTGGCTCTGTGGCTCTGGTTTTGTTTGGTATTTCGAGGGTTTCTGAGCTTCGTCTTTTAGCTTCGTCTTGAGCTTTTATGGTAGCGTATTATGCGGAACTATTCTTGACTACATCCGCTTGTAGTTCCGCGGCGGTGTCTGGTCGTCGGGCCTGGGGGACACGTACTAGAATATAATATAGTACACAGCCATGGTGCAGCACTCACAACGACGCCCTGTGGAGATTAAACTCGCTTCTCAAAACTCAAAGTTGGGGCGCTATTTACGATCTTCGGTTCGATCACGCGGCGGCGTGGGGGGCGGGGACGGTGGATAAGCCTGCTACAGGGGGATGCAAGAGAGAACACTATTATTATGAGCCCGTTCGAGCTTGCAGATTTTTGAACCGCCGTTTATGACCGCCTCACCAAAATCTCGGACGGCCGTAGACCCCGAACTCCGTGATTGATTGATTGAATTCATTTTAGCGCATGCGTCCCGTAGGGATATGGCGCAGCAACTACTCTACAACCTCCACCCTCACCCTCCCCTATGGTTCTGTTTCTTTACAGGCTTTCTGTATACATGATGTTCGTCCGTTGTCAACCCTCTTTCTCGCCGACCCTTCGCACTGGCGATGGCCTCCTTTTGAGTTGTGATAGCAGTCTACTAAGCACGCTCTCTCCTCTTTCCGTGTTGTACCCTTCCCACATCCGTCATTTCCAAATAGTTCAGAATGGCTGCTGTCGCCCTCCTTTCTAAAAATACGATTGAGAGTTCGTGTCTTTTCATGTGGCCGACCTGCTTTAGATCTTTCCATAGCTTCTCCTGTTGTCTTCTCCAGTGTCTGCAATATTTAAAGAGGTGCTCCCGGTTCTGACGACGGTCACCAGCACTCTCCGCTCGTGGCTCCCCCTATTCTTTCCAGGCACTCCGCCGTTAAGCCTTTATTTGTGGCGAATCTGAAGCATCTACTCGCCAGGCTTTTGCAAGCCCTCATCACTGCTTGGTCTGGCTTCCGGGTTCGGGGGAGCTTGGATCTATGCGGATAGTATTTTCCGCACGTCTTGGCTGCCCACACACTCTCTTCGTCCACATTTCTCTTTCTCAGACTCTGGGCCACGTGTGTGACTGAGGTTGCCCCAAAGCGTCTTGCACCCCGAACGATTGATTGACTGATTGATTGTAATCATTTAAGCGCATGCGTCCCGTTGGGATATGGCGCGAGCTACGTACACGAACGTCCCCTTTCCGCAGTGCTGAACTGCCTTAACTCCAGGCTCTGTTTCATCCGTTTTCAACCCTTTTCTCGCCGGTCCTGCTACCTCTGTAGTGGCCACCATTCGAGCTGTACGCACAGCGTACTTCGGCTCTCCTATCTCTACCCTTTTATCCTTCTCCTACATTATCGCTTATAGTCTAATTATCTCCTCACTTCTCTACCTCGTCTCCATTCTCCTATCCCATCCCCATTCCTCATGCTCCCTCTCCGCCCTTGCTTGATCCTCTTCTATTGATTTTGGTCTCCCCACGTGTGTGGCTTCGATGAAACTCATGATGGCCGGCGTAGCTCTGGGTTCTGCGAAGATTGTTGATAAAGCATGTAATTTCGTAAAGCCTTCTCTCTGTAGCATGGCCCACATCTTGTCTTGTCGCCTTCTCCATGTTCTGCACTCTTTGAAAAGGTGTTCCAGGGTCTGGCTCGGGGCTTCGCACCACCAGCATTTGTCGCTTTCCGCTTTATCTATCGATTTCATGTATACAGCGATGACTGCTAGGTCTGCCGTGAACCTGTAGTTGTGTATCGCAGCGTTTTTGCGAGCTTTTGCCTCTACAGGGTCTGTCCTGGATGACTTGCGAAGTTTGTACGCCTGAGGGTAGTACTTTTGACATTTGTCCTTAAACCACCGCTTTTCTTCTTGGAATCTCTCTTCCTTGATTCTCCGGTTGATATGGGCTAATGAGGGTCCTCGGGGTACCCCTCTATACCATCGATCGCAGGAGGCGGCCTCTTTTGCCGCGTTGTCTGCTACCACGGTGCCGTCTATGTCTTGATGGCCTGGTACCCAGTGGAAGTGTATTGCACCCCGAACGCCGTCTATACGAGCAGTGCACTGCACTACAGTTCAATGTTCAACTTGAACACGGTTTCTTGGTGTATGGTGTAGTTGGTTATCACGACAGTCTAACACACTGAAGGCCCCCAGTTCAAATCTGGGAGAAATTAGGGGTTTTGCTTTCTTCCCCTCTTTTTTTTTTCCCTCGAGAGGAGGAGGAGGGAGGGGGAGACGGGGGGAGGATACATGTTTCTCCCGCTCTCGCTCTTGATGTTGGTTGAGTTAGGTACTATCTACGGGTGATGGGCTTTAGGCTTGGTTGCCGGTATGTTTGGGACGGGATTAGAGTAGGAATTAATGGTTAATGGTTAATGGTTAAGCCACTAGGCTATTCGTCACTCGAAGCGATTCGAGGCTACCGACATGGTGTATGCTCTTTTTACACCCGACCCTGAGGGTTTACGGCTTCGTGAGATGTGCGCATTCTAGTTGGATCAAGGATGGCTGGATACAGCGGCATTGACTTATTATGCATAAGTAGGGTGCCTTTCACCTGGTGCAATACCCCCGAACCCCCAACATACGGGAAGATCATGTATAGTACCCACAACTACTCCCGCTCCTCTCCCTTATCCCCCCTCCCCAGGCTACCCTCCGCACCAACTCCTCGCCCCGATCTCTTGCCGACATCTTCTACCCCGACACACACCCGTCGAGTGATGCCCATGATCCGCTCTCTCCCACATTGTTGGAACTTCCCACCGCCGTATTCCGTATTGCCGTACGTGCTTAAATAAGTATCACAGTTGTAGAGTACATGTATTACCGTAGTATCAGTTTCAAACCAAGCCTCATCATCACTACTGCATCGACAGCTGTCGTTAAAGAAGACACTGGCTGTTACAGCACAGTTGATTCTATTCTTCAAATCTGTCTGGTATGCATGATCTCTCCCTTTTCCAGTTCTTATTTCCTTCCTTCCTCCCCACTCCACTCCACCCCACTCCACTCCCCTCCACCGCATTATCGCATTATCGCCCAAACCCCCGGAGGTGGCGTTAACAACCCTCATCCCATCCAGCCAGCCACCCATAACCACGCCCCCCAAGAGACCCCCAGTCTAAGTTGAAGTCTACCTCTCAATCCATTAACCAATTAAATTACACCCCCTCCCTTTTCTCCAACCCCATCATAGTCATCATCAACATGCAACATAATCATCATCCCCTCCCCCCATACATGGCGGCGGTGGGTATCTAACAGCACAGTATCTATAACTAACTTGAAGTCTTGAACGCCATGTATCCCACCCCAATTCCAATCCCATCCCAGTTCCCCAGTCCCCAGATGTGCAGGATCGCACCCATCTATCCAGGGCTGCCGTCTGTCTCTATTACCCTCCAGTTTTTTGCTTCATCGACATCGACAATATCCAGCATCCCCCCAAAAAACCGACCGACATCAAAAAATAGCTGAAACCTCAACCAAATGAAACTAAAAAACTAAAACTAAACGTACTAACCCCAAATACCGTGATGATGATGATCCAAGTGCACCCGAAACTCCCATATGACAACAACAGCAAGATAAAAAAAAGAACAGATCCAGAATCCACATCAACTACATCCTCCACAGCCGTCAACCCTCAACCCAACGACGACGACAACAAAGAAAACTAACAGTAACAAAAAACATAAAAAAAAATCTAAAACGGTAAACTACTAGCACTAGTAATCGTGGCCGACTTCTCAACCGGCCCCGCAGTAACACCAGCATTCACCACACCCGGTCCCACCAACGCCGGCGCGCCCATCATATTCAAGCTCACATTCACGTTTCCCAATCCCTGATTCATTCCGCCTATGACGGTTCCTTTTTCCGGAGGCGGAGGGAGAGGCGAAAGCTGAATTCTACCTCCACCGACACTATGAGCTCTTCTTCCCGCCTCGAGAACTTTCCTGGCTTCGTCAATTCGCTCTATCCACATGCGCATTTTCTCGGATCTCTGGCATTCGACGTTCGTGATTTCCTGGGGGGAGCACCAGCCGGATTCGGACATTCTTTTGAGAGTAGCATCATAGGCGGCGAGATCCGAGTTCATCTCTTCTCTCAGTTCTATGATAGTCCCGGGGGTGATGTCGCCAGAGGTAGCTAGGGGTGGGTGGAATGGCGCGAGAGGGGTAGCGGGGTCGATGGACCGGGCTTTTCTGTGGCCGTGGTGATGTTGGGTGGATGAGAGAGATGACGGGACGAAGGTGGAGGCGAGAGGGGATTTGAGGGGCGGGTGGAGAGGAGAGATGATGTCTGTTGGGGAAGCAGGTTGAGACATATCAGGGAAGACTTCGGAGGGGAAAGAGATGCCAACGGGGGAGCCACGGCGGGAGGTGATTGAGTGGTGTGTAGGCGATGATGAGACGATGGCATTAAATGTGGCAGCGGGAGGGAGAATGGGATCGTGATCGGGGTCGGTGAAGGCGCTGACAGATGTATTCGGGGATACTTGAGCGGATAATGGTGTTTTGAAGGATGCATCTGGAGCGTGCAGGAACTCGTTGGTTTCCTCAGGTGGTGTATTAGGCGTTACTGCAGAAGCCCATTCAGGGAGCTCGGGCATTGGTGGTGGCCTTTGGGCCGGAGACGGTTGGTTGGGGCTCGATAGCCGCCGTTTTAAGCTGGCCCGGAGCTTTGATGGGAGGACTTTGTCGAGAATTATGGCTGTTCTACTAGGCGGCACTGACTGTTGCGGTGATTGAGGTATTGATGCAGGTGCAGAAAATGCTTCAGCATGGATATCGATGGCAGAAGCGCCAGCCAATCCGCCATAAGGGCGTTCGCCGACTAAGATATCGTGAGATTTGGGTATATCATCAAACTGGGGTAAACTCACTATGTGATGGTGGTGTGGGTGGCATTGTCACCGGCGCCAGCTTCTCGTTGTTGTGGTAGTGGCTCATGTCGTGATAGTCTGACGATGTTGAGACCGATGTTGTAGATCCTGAAGAGACCGTGTTGGTTGATTTCATTGCAAGCCCCAGTCCTGGCATTCCAAACGCATCGCGGTCGGCGTAACCTTCATAATTATCCTCCTCCTCTTCCAAGATGGAAGTTCCGACTATTGAAGAGTACGGCGCAAGAAGTGTACTCTTCAATGAGGAGACATCGGTTGGTGTAGCGGGCATGGACAAGTTAGGGGTATCATAAAGTGCATCCAAAGCGTCGCAGGATGCGGGTTGCGACAATGGAGGCATTGATGGAGGGGCTGATCGTATTACTGGAGATTCCACGATGAATTTTGATGATGATCCAGCTGGTGTGGTAGGGTTAAGTAGTGGTAATTCCGGCTTTCCTCGGCGCTCGGACAGCCGTGTTGGGCTCATTGATATCGTATTCATGTCGAGTCCGATGGAGTGTGTTATGTGGAAGACGTTATGTCGACTTGCTCTGCTGCTATCACACTCGTCTTCCGGTGTTGAGACTCCCTTTGCAACAGGTGCGGCGGAGAATATATCCCAGCAACAGTAGTGAAGACTACTTTCCGTAGGGCGATGTGGCTCAGTCCTTTCCCTCCCCGCTGCCCCTCAATGCAAGAGCTGCGTGGCACCGGCAATTGCGCACACGGACCTCCTCACCCACTCGCTACCAGCTTAACCCCTTGTCACAGTCCTCCTCGCAGCGATTCAACTCGCACCTCCGTCCACTCAAGGAGCTGCCGCCGCCGATGACACTGCTCGTACACCGTCGCTACGGCACTTGATTTTTTTCTCGTGCTGCTCGATGATGCTGTATCTGCGGTTGGGGCTGTAGCGTGGCGCGTTCGCAGACGTCAATTGATAAATTGTCGCAGCGCACTATCGGGCCCGTGATTGGAGGTCTGCTAATATGGAAACTCAATTGCTCGGAGCTACCGGGATGGCCGGCGATGGAGTCGGATGGGCGGTTTTCGATGTTGGCTGGATGAAGCCGGTTGGGGGTGAGCGGGCGGCCGACAACGATGATGACGGGGATGATGGCGCGCAGCAGGTAACCAGAACGTTGATGATGGTGACGATGTTGAGGATGTTGATGTCCGCGTCTGTGTTGTGTTGCGTGCGGATACTATTCTTGCCTGGCGCGTGGGTGCAGCGTGGAGCTGGTAGCGGTCTGTTCTCCTTTCGTTTGACGGAGATGAGGGAGCAGCAGTGGGAAGACGAAATCGATGGGGTATATGAAGCGTGTGGTCGATGGACGATGGGAGAGGGCAGATCGGAAAGCGGAAGAGGAGGCGGCGGGCAGCGGGGGAGAGATGGTTGGACAGACAGGACGGGGGTTGGGTAGGGTGGCTGGCTGGCTGGCTGGTTGGGAGGACGAGGGTGGGTGGGCGCGGTGACGGGGTGGTGGTGTTTTGGGGGCGGTGATGTCGGCCGGCGCGGTGGAAGCTTTTAGAACAGCCGCCCCGTTCTCCATGCGACAGACAGACAACAAGCAAGGCCTTGCTTCCCGCAACTCCACACCACCAACTAGAAGGCCTAGCGTTACAACATGTCCATCTAACCCGCGAAGAAAACATCATGCTCACGACGGGAAACAAAACTAAGAACCCTCGTGGATATCCACAGCAGAGAAAAAAAATAGTCTTCGCTTCCTTCTTTGCCATCTCTTCCATCCGTCAACCCTGATCTCATGAACAACCCCGCTGCCCATCATCCACCGCCGCCTCATCCCACACGACACTCACCCCATCCCATCCCTTCAAGCCTTTCCACCACCACCAGTAGTGAGCCGTCCAGACCAACCTGACGCAGCCCAGCGGATGTCCTCCGAGCGCATTTTGCCGCGGATCGAGAATGCGAATGCCATGTCACACTCAAGAGTCCTCCGCATGTATAGTATACTTAGGTAGCATCATGTAACTCCAGCTACATAACCGTAGGGTACTCACCGCGCAGAGAGCTGTGTCTGTATGTATCCCCACTGTGCTCCTGTGACTCCCGATACATGCTGCGGCCTATTGCAGTGTTTCTGCTCTTTGCTCTGCCGATTTTGCACGCGCTGGGTGGGAGGGCATCCCCCGTGTTGGAGAGCTGGAAGGATGTGACATCGAGAGATGGGGAGATACCAGTGGGAGAAGGGGACAAAGGAAGGGACCGCGTTTCCGATAGCCTTTGCCCAGCCGTCACGCCCGCTCCGTGAG